CCGCGGACGCCAGGATGAGTCCGGTGAGTAGGCCGGACCGCCGCCTTCTCATCCTGCTGTGTGTAGGACGGCCACGACCTGTTTGATGTATAGACTCCCGGGGTCCTACAACAGGCAGGCTCCCGGGGTCCTGTAGTCACTGAGTCCTACAGGTTACTACAGACTAATGGAATCCTGCTGTGGGTAGGATTTCCAAAGTTCTATAAGAGGCAGGATGACGAGGACCTGTAGTGAAGAGGCTCCCGAGTTCCTGCGATATACTCGTTCACAGGACCAACAAAGGGCAGGCTCACAGGACCTGCAGTGGATAGGCTCCCAGAGTCCTACTAGAGGCAGGTTCCTGAGTTCCTGCAGTGGATTGATTCCCGGGGGATCTGCAGGATACAGGCTCACGAGATCCCGCAAGATACGGGATTCTAGGACCTACAAGAGTCACGTATGCTTGGTCTTACATAGGACAGTTGGGGGATCCTGCAGGAGGCAAACCCACTCACGGTGTCCTGCAGGATTACGTCTCCAGAGATCTTTCACGCGGCAGGATTATGGTGCTCCTACAGGTCAACCTGCCGGAGAAAAAACTGGATATAATTATCTATCTATTTATTATAGAATCAATGAGACAAAAATATTTCCTTCTCCTTAATAACAACAATAACTCGTAGAACAAAAAAATAATTACGATCTATAAATTAGTTTTGTTATCTCTTTATCTAATCACTTATTAATTTACTAAATGTATTGTCGATTATATTTATTTCTTGTCTGTTATTAACGTCTCTTATCTCTTACTCCAATTACGTTCTTTTTTATTATCAAGTTCTTTATCTCTTCGTGGTTTTGTTTATGTCTCAAGTTTTTGTTAAGTTTAATTAATTTTTATTTATTAATTATCTCTGTTATCTCTTAAAGAATTTTCTCCTATGACCATTAAATTTCTTTGTTCTTATCTCTCAAGTCATCTATCTTATCTCCGAAAGACATCAGTTCTTTGTAGTCTCTCATCAGTTAAAGAGATCAGGAATATCTCTCAGGTATAAGGGTTTGTGCAGGTGATGGTGGTGGTGGTGTCAGGGGGAGGGTGTCAGGGGGTGAATGTCAGGGGGTGAATGTCAGGGGGTGAGTGTCGAGGGGCAGGTGAAGGTTGATAGGGGCGAGACAGAGGAATCGTGAGGGTTGAGACATAAACTCTACGGAGATCTCCCTTCACATTTCACTAACTCCTCCTTCCTTCCTTCCCCCATTTTCTCTCTTCATTGTTCACTAACAATTACCTGGCTATTACCTACTATTAACTAGCTATTATATAACTCAGCATTAGCTTAATGATAATAAGGTACTTGGTGTTTATGAAGCCAGGTAAAGCAACAGTGATTTTGGTAGTTAATTATGCTGGTGTACTATACAATTGGCTATTAGAGAGAGAGAGAGAGAGAGAGAGAGCTTATTACGATCCAACATTTGGACAATAAGCAACAGAAAATGAGCACAGACAGCAAGCAACACACACACACACACATTAACACTTCACAAAGATTCATGATGGTCGCCTCAACTAAATCTTTATTTGCGAGAGTCATTTGTTTACATAATATGAGCAGCTTGGTGATGATGCTTCCTCTCCCAGCCGAGTCGTGTCATGGTGTTTATACTTGTTCTGACGTTTATACTTCTCCTCCTACTCCTCGCCCCCCCCCCCACCGCCTCCTCCCCCACCTCGCCCCCACCACCGCTCGCCCCCACCACCCCTCGCCCCCCACCACCGCTCGCCTCCACCCACCCTCAACTTCTTGCTTAGTAATACGAGGAAATGCTCTCGTCAAGGACCTCTCGTGGCGATATATGAGCAGTATTACCAGATCTTAGAATATTGTCTTAGTCTTGATGTCGTGGTGAAGATGTGATAGGTGTTTATCTCTCGTGTGTTGGTATAACTGCATGCGTTCACTCTCTTAACATGTCTTAAATCCACAGTTTGTTATTACCACAGTTTGTTTCTACCACACCGTTCATTCCTACCACACCGTTTGTTCCTGCCACACAGTTTGTTCCTACCGCACCGTTTGTTCCTACCGCACCGTTTGTTCCTGCCACACAGTTTGTTTCTACCACACAGTTTGTTCCTCCCCTCAGCATACTCCCATTATTATGACGTATAAGACATAATTCACACACATTCTAACATTCTAACTTTACATTCTATTATTAATATTATTATTAATTTTTATAAAGGGAAGAGAAAGGAAGTGGTGTATTCTTACTAACTTTTATATTGAATTTTACTTTTGTATTTTTTTTCCTGGTCCAATTTAACTCCATCATATGTAGCATGAATATATTTACACGTGTTATAATATATTTGTCTGTTGGTTATATTAATACATTGTGTTTTAGGCAGACGAAATAGTCTTAAAAAATAATGATGAATATTTTTTTATTTTTTTTTATTATGTGTCGAATTCCATTATAGGATGGGTGGGTTTAATGGGTTTTATTTACCTGTGTGTGAGTTTAATGGGTTTTATTTACCTGTGTGTGAGTTTAATGGGTTTTATTTACCTGTGTGTGGGTTTAATGGGTTTGTTACTTGTATTTCCTTCTTCAGGTTTGGTCTCCCCTCCCCCCCCCCTCCCGGACACACCTAACAGGGGGAGATGGGTGTGTGGGAAGGGGAGGAGGGTGTGGGAAGGGGAGGAGGGAGTGGGAAGGGGAGGAGGGTGTGGGAAGGGGAGGGGGATCGTACGTCAGTTCTTGTACAATACTCGTGTAGAAAAAATTGGTCCACTGTAACTCTACACCACACTATCACCCTACCAGCTGCCACCCCCCCCCCCCCCCCCCTCCACCCCTGTGGGTTTGCAGGGGTACCGAGGAGTGATTGGTGGGTACTGAGGAGTGATTGGTGGGTGGGTAGTGAGGGGTGATTGGTGGGTACTGAGGGGTGATTGGTGGGTAGTGAGGGGTGATTGGTGGGTACTGACGAGTGATTGGTGGGTATATCCGTGTGATTGGTCAGTGCCGAGGAGTGATTGGGATAGTTCCATGTGATTGGGCAGCAAGGTACTGCATGTAATACTTCCATCGTCTCGTTGATATACATTTATAACAAATAATCAAGATTTTAATTTCTTTCGACGTATCGGAAAAAAATGTTACGTCGTCTTTTAATTTAATTTTCTAGACTGCATTTTTTACTTTTTGCTCATATTATTATTATTTATATGATGAATTATAACGTATTTCTTATATATCAAATTTAAGCAACAGTACACAATATGTAAATAAATTTCCTTGGATTAATTTTCTCTCGGATTTTTTTTAGGGAAGTCAGGGTTAAAAATACTCGTTAAATAATATAAAGAAAATGGGATATGTGGTCTTTTTTTTCGCTGTTATATTCCACGTAAATGTAATTCACCTGCATCACATTTTCTTTACTGTTTCTATAATATGTTTTTTTTTCTGGAGTAACATAAATTTTCAGAAATATTTAAAGGATATTAAATAAAATTGGTTCTTCCCCAAAGTTCTTCGTAATTCAAACTTCATTATGTATACAGTATACAACGAAAAATATAATTCTCATTCGTTATACAATATCTTTCGTATTTTCATTTGGATGTTCGTATTTTTTAAACGAGGGGGTGAAGGGGTGTGTGGGTTGGGGGAGGGAGTGGGGGAGTATGAGTTGGGAGGTGTGTGTGTGTGTGTGTGTGTGTGTGTGTGTGTGTGTGTGTGTGTGTGTGTGTGTGTGTGTGTGTGTGTGTGTGTGTGTGTGTGTGTGTGTGTCGTGGTTCAGGACTGTTATCCTGCTGCCCAAAAAACAGAGAGAGACCCAGAATTGTTACAGCGTGAGGCTGATGCATTATATAGTATGATTAATGGTTTGTGTGTGTGTGTGTGTGTGTGTGTGTGTGTGTGTGTGTTAAGAGCCTGGCTATAAATGTTGCAATGGTTACCAGGTTGAAAATAGTTTTGATGTCACGGGGTTAAAAATATTACAATGCTTCCAGGATAAAAATGTACAGTGTTATTCCGAGTACAGTGTGCGCTATTATCACATTGTACCAGGCTACAGTGTACTATCCTCCGTTATTTCAATGTACTATCTTTCTCCGTCACAATGTACTATCCTCCGTCGTTACAATGTACTCTCTCCGTTACAATGTACTCAACCAATCAATGCCTTACAAAACCAGCTCAAGACTTACCCAGAAAATTTCCTCCGAGAAGGTGACCTCCAAATGGTCTCCAGCGTCGCCACCTCGACTTACTGTCTGAATTATCCAGTCTTGTTCAAACAATGACATCTAATTAACCTGTATTTTACCTGGCCGCGGGTCTTTAACTCAACTAACACACACCAATTGGTTCCTAATTACTCCAGACTTAACTAACTTTGTGTTGCAAGAATAATCGCGAAAATGTATCTTTATTTTGATAGTTTTGTGTGTGTGTGTGTGTGTGTGTGTGTGTGTGTGTGTGTGTGAAATACGTTTGATTGACACAAAATGAAAAATAACACACGCACACACACACACACACACACACACACACACACACACACACACACACACGCACACACACACACACACACACGGATCATTAGCCACCACACATGATGGCTTTCAATGAGTTGATATTAAATTTTTGTTCAGCTCACTGACACAGAAACCCATTTTGTTTATATGATAAGGGGTGGGGAGGGGGGATGAAGAGGGACGGGGGGGTTGGGGGGGGCTGGGGGGGCTGCGGGGTGGGGGGGAGGCTACAGTTATGTGATGTTATGTACAGGAGTCTACAGCCTCCCTCTATCGTTTATTGAGTACAGACCAAAAAACTTATTATTATTGTGAAGGAATAATTAATAATTGTTATTATCAATCCGTATAATTAATTGGTAACAAATATTATCATTATTAATCTGTATGGTCAATTAGTAACATAATATCATCTGTTTATCATTATCCGTTCACAAAGTGTTAACATAAATATTTGCATTATTAGTTCCTAGAATTAATTGGTGTCCAGGAAGTTGTTATAGTGATTACCGTAATTAGTAATCCTTCGTTACCCACACAGTGGGTAACGAAGGATTACTAATTACGGTATACAGTAAAGATAACAATTATCCTCAGTTATTCACAGATTAGATATATAAAGATAACACCTATCCACACATATGAGCTTTAGAACACTGAACACGATAACCCAAAGCCATGTAACAGGATATCGTGGTGTTGTGTGGATGTCACGCCACGATAACAATAGACAGTTGATGTTAACAAAAGAATTTACGATATTTTCCAGGATGGCAAAATTTGACCCCCGTGAGTACGATGACTTACTGCACACACACACACACACACACACACACACACACACACACACACACACACACACACACACACACACACACACACACACACACACACACACACACACACACACACAACAAAATCCTTGAGATCAGACTTTATTTTACACTAATCCTCAAACATACCCGCCAAGCTAAATTTGGCATGGGTGCTACTGCTGGTTTTGGAAGGCGGAGTTAAGGGTG